AGTGTGAAACTTTCACACTAACAGCAACGATTTTTACCAATTGGGAGGGATCCAATTTTGAAATCAAGCTTTATTTCAAATTTTAGTCTTTTGTATCAGACTTCTTGGTACACTCACCACTTGTTTCCTCTAGGAAAAAGGGGGTTGGGTAAATTTTTTGAAGAGGTTGTTTTAATGGTAAAAGTCTACTCAAAGCCCTCACCTGCCAGCTTGGCTTCCTAAATAACGAGGCTCATTCCCTTGCTCTTCCTGTCACTCTCACTCACTTCCCTCACTTAGCTATTAACTTGCTGGGCCAATGTGAACCAAATATGAGTGTGCAGTGGTGGTTGAAAAATTAACACTATAATACTTCCAGGAAGTAGGACTGGCCAAATGTTTTTCAAATAAAAATGCGTTTTCTAATAAAATCAGAACTTCATTTTTCCCCCTTTTGTTAAGTTAGTTTTAATTCTTAGTGATGCTCTTAAAGGCTTTTTTGTGTTATGATATGAGTTTCTGCAGCTCTGTAATCACCCACACTGTGAAGTTCTTTTATTACCGATCTCTGGATTCTGAAGCAACTGTATTAACAGGCTATTGAATTATAATTGTTTAAATGTGATCTTTTATATTTTATATTTGAGTCTTATCACTGGATAAAAATAAAGAAATGAAGGAGTAGCTATACAGTCCGTTCTAATCTAATAATCTACTTATGTCAGCAGTCACTGCCATATGTTTCCGAGAAAGGTATTGGGAAACCTTGCAGCAAGCAAAGGAGTGAGATAACTTTCCCATTTTAAAAGAATAGTTTTTATGGTTTGTTAAAATTGGCTTGTATGCAAAAGCTTAGTACTTATATCCCTTTAAAATGCTTTTGCTGTGTCTTATTTTCACGTACAGTTGGGATGAGGTACAGTCACTCTTTAAAAAAAAAATTATTTCCTGTTATCAGAAGAAGAGGAATCTCCACAGGGAAAATGACCGGTCCCTTTAAACCTTCCTAAACTAAGGCCTTCCTGATAACTTATGCACAGCCAAGTTTTCTATCAACAGATGGATTTTTTTTTTTTTTCTTTTTTATAAACTTATCTTTTCTGCTCTGATGTTAGCAAAATGCCTACTTCATATTTTATGAGTTACGGTGAATGAAGTGTCACATCATTTCTCTTGATCAATTTTTTTTTAACTCTTGTTTCATCTTTTCAAGGATAGTCTCAATCATATTATCTAATGACTGGCATTCTAACCGTATCTTTAAAGGATGTCAGCAAATCTCTTTTTAAACAGTTAAATTATTTAATGATTTTTCTTTTCACATAATTGATTCTTATCGGTCTAGGGGGATAGATATATGATGTTCTTCCTTCCTCTTTTTTAGCCAGTTATTAGCCTTCTTATGAGATTGCATTGAACAAGAAAGGCAATTATTCAATGGCTAATTGTTTGATCCTTTAGCAGTTGGTATCTTAAATGAATGTCATGTGAACAAGGATATAACTTTGCTTCAGCCTTAACTTATCTCAATTCTGTGACGCTGAATAATTTTGAAATACTATACAAATTTTGAAAATGGAAAAGGAGAGAGAAAACGGTAGAGTATAGGCTTTGTGTGCTTATGCTACATATAAAATGTTATAATTATTTTTGAATTAGATGTTAGTAGTTTGGGAGTGTTCTGACACAGAAGCATGTATTTCTTCTGTATCAAGTACGTTTACTGATTCTTGTTAATTTTTTCTTAAGGAAGGATACATAGGTTAATATCCATGTAGAAGTTCTTTATTAAAGATTTTGGCTTCATAGAAGCTTACAAGAAAAGACAATGCGTTGTGTGCCTGAGGAGATCGCAGTGGAAAATCGTTATAGAAAAATTATTTTTAGGCAGCTGCAGGGATGTTCTTAAGAACAGCCAAACAGAGGCTCACCCAAATAGCAAGTCATAATTAGGGTATTAACCAAGTGACTGGTCTCTATTTAAAAGACAACTGTATATTATATTTAGCATATCATTGAAATATTTTATAGTAATGGCAACTTCATGTAGGTAAAATTTCATAGTGTGGAATAATATCTTTCAAAATTGCATTGTAGTTTGTGAACAATTCAAGGCAAGATAAACTGTTGCTAGCATGAGTCTCATCCTGCCTTGGCTGCTCATTCTCAGCATCTGTATTGTTGCTTCCTGTTTGCTGGCGCAAATATTCGCATAACCACATTTTGAATCTGATCAGTTCCTTAGCTTGTTTCACTGTGCAGTTGCATGGGAAGTTATGCTGGGAAAAGAGGCATTAGGAGTGAGCAACTGAGAGTAAGAAAAGGATGGAAGTGCTTCTTTCAGTTGTAGTGCTGCCACGTGCTGCCTTAAAATTTTGCATATATTGTCCATACTGACAAAATGGACAGTATGGGCAAATCTCTTCTTTACCAACTATATCAAGGGTATATTTGCATAAAAATGAATTGACCTGGGGGCATGTTACATGTTAAACGCAATCTAGGACACGTAACCTGCGTGTAAAAGGTATGTCTGTAAACCAGAAGTTACTGCTGTATCATAGAGATTTTTTTACTACAGGGAGGCTCGCACATTAATATCCTTGGTACCTTAAAATCAGGCTGCGGGTTAACAGAAGTCACTTAACTACGTTTTATCCATTCTTGTCTTCAGACAACAGAGCAACTTGTAGAGTAGCCTTGTGCCCAGAGAGAAAGTTGGAGTTCGGGAGAGAAAGCTTGAAGTGGACTTCTGCTTTAATAAACGATACGTCTGTTCTGTTCAGCTAGTAGCTGGAATGTAACATGAAGGAGACTCTGATATTCAGAATACAGACAGTTAGAAAATAATTGGCTTTATATTTCAATGATACACAATTTATTTTGGTTTTTTTCCCCCTTTTAAGTCTTGTCTAATCTTGAGTGTGATTTCAGGGTAGCAAATAGTAAGGTTCTTCACTGCAAAGAAGTCGTGCACATAACATTGTTGTCCTGCCTGACCAGAATACCTTCACATGACACACAAATTTGGCATTTTCAAAAGTCTAGTCATAAAGGTTGTTGACAAGGAGTGGCAAATTGTGAATGCAGGAGAAGCTCTTATGATAAGCATTAGACAGGAGCCTCATTAGTATGCAGCAGGTTATTGGTTGACAGGAAAAACTCAGACTCTGGTTACCTGTCAACTGGTGACAGAACTCTTTCTGTTCATGAAATTCCTAATCTACAGAGTTCAAGAATACAGGGATTACTTGCTTATCAGATATCACTAGATGTTAAGACTCAGTTTCGTCCACAGTTGTGAAATTGCTTAGGCCTAGGTATGACAGTATGTGGAAATGCATATTTTTGAAGCACAGACTTTTCACAGAGAATGGGCAGAGGCCATTGCAAGGCCTGTAGTTCTGAGGTGATGGAGTAAGACTGTTTCTACTTCTTTCCTCTTGGGAAGTTTGAGTCTCTGAAGAAAATGGTGGTACCTTCTGTATCTCCTGCCTTCAGTTTTTTTTCCTCCTTTTTTCCCCCCTCTCTCACTCTCTCCTTTGTTTTCCCCTCTCTCACTCTCTCCACTTTTTCTTTTTATTTTTTTTAAAGCTAGTGTTTGTTGTCTTCACAGCAACTTATTCCATATGTTGAAGAAGATGGATCCAAGCACGATGATCGTGGTGCTGCTAGTCAGCTTCGTTTTGCTACTGAAGAGAGAAGGGAAATCATGGAGGTAAACAAGGTAAGCAAGTTGAGACTGATTTGCATAAAACAGAAGATGTCACTCTGTCATTACAAAGCATGTGTTGCTAGACTGCTGTACTAAATGCAGTATGTGTGATGGCTACCGTTGAATTTAGTAATAAAAATTTGTTGTACATGACTATTTCAGAATTACCTTGTAGTAAGCAGTTTTTTTTTTTAACTGTGCTTCTGGCTTTTGAGTTTAGGTATGTGACATTTTTATCTTATTCCTTTTTTTAAACCAATACAGTTCTGAATGTATTATGTTATAGTTATGCATAATCCACTAGATATTGGCAATGCAGATGGAGGGAAGGTGCCTGTTGGAATTTTTTGACTTCAGAGGATTGTGTAGGCTACTGCGTTAAAAATACGTGTGGAACATCAGATACGTAACTCTTGTCACGATACTGGGAATAAATAAAGGATTTTCAGGACTACTTTTTCTATTTTGACAATTCAAGGAAGAACATTCGTTTTGTTAAACATAGCATTTATTGCATCATGGCACATTCAGGATTAAAAAATGTACTATATATGATAAAGATGATATAAAATTTTCAGTATGAATGGCAGTTACAGTTATTAAGGAGTGTTTCAAATCTGTAGTAAATGCTAATATAATACTGAGGCTAAAAATATGTAGCTTTACCAGACCATAGTTTTGGGCATTGTTCCTTCACTCTCTAAAATATCAAGATAGTATTACATTTTTTTGGAGCTCTAATACATGTAAATGCTAGGTAAAAAGGAGCCATAATCCACAAAAACAACTGAACAAATAAAATGAATGAGTAAAATACTTCTGTATAGACAGAAAAATTGGTGGATTTTCAGTTTTTAAAATATTTTCGATATTTTCATTTACCTTCAACAATTTTAAAGACACACAGGGTTATTCAAAACCCATTTATTTAGAAAAATGGGTGCATATTGTGCAGGTGAATATAAGACAAGACGAATTCATAGAAAAGCAGTTGTCAGCTTTCCTGCTGTTTTTTTTCTGTTCAGTGCTGATGTAACAGGGTTGTATATATTATATTGTATGCAATGTTATACTGTGAATTTATGCACATTTATTTGCAATCTTTAACTATTAATAAGCTGAACTGTCCACGTTTGCTGCCTTTTTGATAGTTTTATGACATGTTTTTGCCCTTGTTGTTGTACTTGTATGCTAATGTTTTTTAAAACTCCTTGGCATGGTCTTGTAAAAAGAATTTCATAAATGTTTATGATGAGTTCTAAACCGCAAAGAGGTTGATGGTGTTACAGAAGCGTTGGTAACAACTCAATAATTAAGAAAGCATTCGGACATTCTCTTAAATCCGGTCCGAAATCCCGTATTCACACTTAAATGCCTAAACTCATTTTCCAACTTTTCCACAGTAAATCTTGAGAAGATAGTTGAACTTTCTGTGATATTTCGTGGACGATTTTACTAACTGCTGCAAAAGAAATTTAAACTGCTTCTTTTTGAAACTACACTGTTGGCTTCAAAGTTCAGGTTTTAATACAGTACGGAATAGGAAATGCTTTGGTTTTTTATGACTACACGTAAAGCAATTCTCATTTTTGCAAGGAAAAATCAGTGGAATCAGGTTAATCGGTCCAATTTCTGACCCTGCTGGGCTCAGATAGCCTCTCTGGTTCTTAGCTGGTACTCCTGATAGCTTTTCGCTCTATATAATATGTAACTTCTGTCTCCACATCAGTTTTGCTTAATTTCTTCTGGCACGTTTTCAGTAATGCAAAGTCTAGATAAAAATGCTCGAACAAGGAAACTAATGTGACAGATGAGGAAGCTCGAGCCACTATTTTTTCTCCCTTCAGCTGGTTCTTTAGCTCTCAGCTAGTCCTTTTTGCTGTAGACAGGCCATATCGTTTCGTGCTTGCAATACCAAAAAAGCATTCTTGCAGTAACCCAAATATTTTGACATTGTTGAGAGATTTGAATTCCTGGGCCTTGAACAGGTTTCTCTTACTTTTGCCCTTTGTGTATGACTTGCAGACAGTCTGATATCATTAGTGGTCCTCTGTGTATATGAGAGACATTACCCTGCAGTAAGGAGCCCAACCCAAACTACTACCTTGCGGATCATCTGCCCTCACGCAAAAACTACCATGCCAGGAGCCACCACCACCTGCTTCCTGGACTCTCCTGCTCTTTCTAGGGACAGAAATACCTGTTGAAGTAGCACAGTTCCAAAATACTGTAGTAGCTTTTGATATCAGTTTATAGTCACACCTTATTTATTTATTTATTCTGCTACATCGGACTTGTTATATTTTAGACCAGAGTGTTTCATGCCTTCGCCTTGGCTAAGAAGTACTTGTCCTTTAATTTACAAGGTAATGAATTCCTGTCCTAGTAATTCAATAATATTTAACAATTGTAGTTTTAAATGAAACCTATTAAGCTTAAAAGTAAAAAGGATTTTTTGCCCTATAAGCAGTTACTAAACAGGATGCTTGTAAGTACGCACCATTATTATAAAAAAAAAAAAAATTCTCTTTATTCAGCACTGACTACCCCTGACTCTTTACTACACAACTCTCTCCTCGACTTCCCAAGTATGTTACTTATTCCTTTTATTTGTATTTGCTTTCCAGGACTGTACATTGGTGAGATGGTTGACTCTCTTCTGGAACTTACTGCTCCAGAATCAGTTTAGCATTTGCATAGGTCTGCTGATAAAAATCCTGATCCAGCTTTCATTGAAGATAATTGCTCTTTGCAACATTTGGAAGCTGTTGTTCTATCTGCAGGTTTCTTACATTCCACGTATAGTGTCGTGTGTAATATTTTCAAGATGTGAGACTCACCTTGAGTCTGGAAGTACATTTGACAGGACTTACAACAGAAGATATCAATTCATAGACTGAGAACACTTTAATCTGTGCTGCTGCATTATCAGCATTTTTCTTTACTGCTCTTTTTTAGAAATGAAACAAATAACAGCTTTTCTTTTTTTTAATGCTCAGGTCTGATTTGGAATGAAATGCTTAGAAAAAGCATGTCATAACTAGTAATCTCAATACATATGTGTGGAAATGAAATGATTTGAAATACTGTTAAGTATCATATTTGTTAGTCTAACAGTCTTTACTTACTGGTTAACAATGGTCTCGCTAAATGAGGAAAAAACAATCAACTTTACATTACAGACTTGTAAGTTAAGTTGTTGTGAATTAACCTCTGGCCTTTTTCGTAGCAAAACCGTTGTTCATTATCAAAGCAATACTTGGGTTACTGCAAGAATGCTTTTTTGGTATTGCAAGCACGAAACGATATGGCCTGTCTACAGCAAAAAGGACTAGCTGAGAGCTAAAGAACCAGCTGAAGGGAGAAAAAATAGTGGCTCGAGCTTCCTCATCTGTCACATTAGTTTCCTTGTTCGACGTGAGAACAACATGAGAGCTGATGTTTTTTGGGGAAGTAGTCCTTAAAATGACAGGCATTTGTGATTAGTCTTTCTTTTTGGAGGAGAACTTTGTCTGAAACGTACTTTCAAGTGTGCTGGAAATTTGTATTTCTTCTAAACTGTCCTTCAGTTCTGCACTATTTGAATCTATTTGCAACCTAATTTGTAAATCCTTTTCACACTGAATCTGAACAGGGACCAAAGAACGCTTTGGCAAGAGAGGAAGAATTGTTTATTTGGGCACCTTGTCAGCATGTTAATCTACACTGGGCACAGTTCCATACTGTTTCGGCTGTCCAAATTTTCTCTCTGCAATCACAGAATTGTAGATGAATTTAGACTCGAAAGGAGCTCTGGAGATTATTTTATCCAACCTCCAGCTCAAAGCAGGGCCAACTATCCAAGCTAAATCCGTTTGCTCAGGCTCACGTCCAGTAGCATTTTGAATATCTGGCAGGATGGAAGTTCTGCTGTTTCTGGACCCCTGTTCAGTGTTTGCCAACTCTCACTGTAAAAGAAAATTTCCTGATATTAGAGTAGAATTTTCTTTGTTTTAACTTACCCATTGCCCCTTGTCCTTTTGCTGTGCACCTCCGAGAATAGCCCAGGTTTATTTTTTCTATGACCTTCCATCAGGTAGCTGAAGACAGTGTTAAGCCTTTTCTGCTTGAGACCAAACAGATTGAGCTCTATCTGCCTCTACTCATATGTGTTCCAGCCCCCTAGTCATCTTAGGTGGCCTTCCGCTAAAGTTGCTCTAGCATGTTAGTGTTCTTGTACTCAGGAGCCTCAAACTGGACAGCAGTTCTCTAGTGCCAAATAGAGGGGAATAATCATTCCACTTGATCTGATAGGTATGCTCTTGCTAGTGTCGCCCAGGGTGCAGTTAGCTTTCATTGCTGCAGGAATCCACTGCTGACTCACGTCAGCCTGTCAGAAAGTCTCAAAAGAGTATCCAGATCCTTTTCTGCAAAGCTGCTTTCCAGTCAGTCAGCCCTCAGCCTGTACTGCTGCATGTGTTTATTCTGTCCCGGGTGTAGGATTTTGCCAGGCTTTTGTTGAACTTCCTGAGATAGGCATCAGCCTGCTTTTCCAGCCTGTGGCGGTTCCTCTGAATTGGAAGTCATACTACTGAGTATACTGACCATTTCCCCCAATTTGGTGGTGTTCACAAATTTTCTAACGTGCATTTTGTCACATTGTCCAGGTCATTAGTGAGGAGATTAGGAACACTGGCTCTAGTATGAGCCCTGAGGAACACTAGTACTAGTCACCAGCTACCAGCTGGACTTAGTATTGCTACTTGCAACACTTACAGTCCACTGCTCTGGCCAGTTATGCAATAACCTTACAGTCCACCTATCCAAACCGTACCTCTCCAATTTGACTGCATTGTACTACAAGAGACAGTGCCAAAAGCCTTGCTGACATCGAAGTAGACAAAATTGCCTGCTCTGATCTCATCCACACAGCCAGTCGTTTCATCATAAGAGTCAATCCGGTTGGTCAGAAACAGTTTACCTTTGTTAAATCTACTTGATTGATCCCAAGCACCGTATCTTTCATGTGGCTG